ACCTTTAGGTCTTCTCTCTACAAGAGAAAAACTTTTATGCATGCCTACAAATATGTCCTGTTTGGAAAGACTAACGTTACGATTGCTGTAAACACAACGCTATACCAAATGCTTGAAGGGAATAAGATCCTGATTTTTTTTGACTTGGTGATTGTATTAGTAGCTTTTTTGACTCAATGGGATTTTTCCACCATGACAAAGCAACCAAGTTCCTATTCCTGGAGGGCAGTTTAGGTTCAGACATTTTCAGGAGAGGCAGTTTAAAACCAGTATGTTGGGGGTTTTATGCAACATGAGTAGTGACGTGCAACATGCCCCTTGTTTTACCTGTGGAGTAAAGTTGCAGAAGCACATTTTCAGATTACTATATTGAAAAAACTTTTTTCCTCCCCCGTTCGTATTAGGGGGTGACAAAAGTGGGTACAGGCGACCCCTAATAACGATAGGCTGTGTTGGGTTTGGTAAATGTTATGGTGGAAAATGTACATTGATGTCTCTAAGTGATCTTACGGGTTAACGAGCCAGACTGGCATCTTTTTCCATCATTGTTTAACCAATAATGGTTCTAAAAATGCTTTGTGTACCTGCATGGTCTTAGACCTTCTATTAATGATTGTATCAACTTACAAACTCAGGTAGATAATTTTTTAAGCTCTTTTCGTAGAGCCTTACTGACTGAATGTTAAGTGTCTGTGTAGTGATGTAGTTAAGTAACTTCCTTTTGAACTACCAGACTAGTTTAAAAAAAAAAATCCTTTTATAGGTTTGTAGAGTACTTTTCAGACAATGTAGTAGTTTTTCCTTCAGAGGGAGAGATGTCTGTTTCTGGGTTTTGTTTTTAGTTTCTTTTCTAAAATGACTAAAAAAGTTTTTAACTAGTTTGTAAGGTGTGCTTAGTCACCTGAGTTGGTGGGGGTTTCTTACTGTATGTGACTCTTGTACTGTGCGTTACCTGTCATGCGCTGCTTGGTTCGTGCACAGTTCTTTGGGAGCAGTGAGGGTGTCGAACACGTGCCTGCAATTTAAGTCCAGTAGAAACTGGAAGCCTTGAACAAAATGGAGGTCATCCACCTGAAATCAATGTCACAAACTGGCATTTTTCTCTCCTCCTTTAATTTGACTGTAGCTGTATGGCCCCATCTCCTAAAACTTCATTACCAGTGTTTAAGTAGCGTTGCCTCGGTGCAGGTTTGCATCGGGATCCAGAATGATTTTTGTCAGTCCTTGGATGTTGGGCATCTTGAGTCGATTGGTTTTGTATTTTCCTCTTCTGCTGCAGTTGTTTCTTTTCTACTTTAGTGATTAATCATGCTGCTCTCCTAATAATAATAAAAATGTCTCAGCAGGATAGACAGTGCTCTGCTTTTAATGAGCTGCTCAGAGCTTTTATATCTAATTGATAATGAAACAGGCTGTGACAAGAACTTCCATGCTCCAAAAAGGGCATCACGTTTCTACTTGGACAAAAAGTGACATTGTAGATGTCAGATGTTGAGTACTGCAGAGAAGAAAGCATGACAGGTTATGTGCAAACTTTTATGTAGAATAAGTGAGCAAAATGTTAGAACCCTTGTGTTAATGGAGGCTTCTGAATGTATCTTTGTGGTCCATAGGGAAGGCTGAAGGATGTAGCAAGGAGATGATGTATCAGCTACTGGCAGCCTTAAAACAAAGTCAGTGTCTCTCTGGACTTTAAAATGTTCCTATGCAGTTTATTTTATTTTTGTTTAATCAAATAAATGTGAGGAGTTTTTTTTTCATGGCAAATCTGTGCATGTGTGTTTCTGTATTACTCAGCTGAAGCAGCCTCTTCTGTGGGGGGTGGGGGGGGTGATGTGTGTGCAAAAAAGGAAAAGCATTTGCCTGAATTGGAATCTGGCTTTCTCTGGGTGGTGACTACTGAAAAATTTAACCAGGCACCTGCTCTGAAAGGAGAGAGGAGAAATGTTGGGGTGCTATGGAAAAAAGTGGGGGGGTTTAAAAACAAAACCAAAAGGTAGTTTTGTTACACTGTCAAACGGTGGGCCTGTTAAAAAACCAGCCTCACTCTTGTGACTGGAGGGAAGTGGCTTTGATACTGAACTTGCCATCTGTACTGCATACAGTTGTTTTCCAGGGGTTTTTTTTTGCCAGAAAGTTCCTGATTTAAAGTCTTTGTTAGGTCCATTTCTAGGTTTCCATTTCTTCACCTTTGCAACAGTGACAGTAATGTTTTTTCTGAGGGCTAATCTAAAGCAAAGCTACCAGAACATTTAATGGTGTGTCTGGCATCTTCCAGAGCAGACTGCCAACCTAAGTTGGGTAAGCAAAAAGGTACCTTTTTTTTTTCCTTACTACTTCAGGAAGGTTTGAGAAGAAAGGGTGAGCATGGGAAGATGCTCTTCAAGTAAGGTTTGAGAATTAAGGCCATGGACTGAATTCCCAGCATAGATAACAGTGGAGATGGATTCCAGTCTGAGTGCTGTGACTGCACTGAGCTGCCCCTCTCTTCAAGCAGCAGCAGTGCTACAGCCGGGGGGGGGGGGACCAGAGCTGTTGTGGTTAATGCAGCTGCCTTAGGGCAGAAGAGCTGTCATTGTTAGGGGAGAGCTGGGGCTGAATGCTCCCGGTCAGATGCAAATGCAGCTGTGAGAGGAGGTGCGCTATCTGGGGAACAACAACTGCCTCCTTCATCCCGCCCCGAGGGGAGCACCGAGTGCCCCCGGGGGAGCTGGGCGCTGGCGAAGGCCGGCGGTAGCATCCTTTGCATCTCAATGCCCCGCATTCCTGGGGGGGCGGGGAAGGGCAGAGAAGAATCTTCTCTATTCAGGGCCCAGGACCACACAGCGAGCCATCTTTAACCTTTTTGTATTTAATCAGTCAATCTACTTTGACCTGAGGGATCCTTTCTCCCTTCTTTCAGAAATGTGATCTCTCCATGCTTTTTCCTGATTTATTTTTAAATTTTTATTCCTAATACTTCTAAACTGCTTGCCCCTACCTGAAGGCAGAGTTGGTGCCACCTCCTACACTGATTAAAAAAAAAAATCATTGAAAATGTCAGCTACTTCATCATTACTCTGAAAGCCTTGAAAAGTAGAGAAGCTAGTTCTCTAACACAAAAGGGATAGTAGCAAAGCTCAAGTGCTACACTGCTGAGGGGATGCCCACGTCTACTCATTCTATAACTTGCACGTTGTTTAATAAAATTACTATTTTTCTGTCAGTTGTGGCTTTTTTTTTGAAGATCTTGGGCTCAGTCCCAGGACTGTCCTGCTGGCTTGCTCCATGCCTGCACTATCTAGTGCTCAAGTTAGAGCAGAACTTGCAGGACCTGTGCCCTACTTGAAGTGGGTGACCTTCCTGGTGGTGGCTGAAGGCAAAGTACAATGCCAGCAGCACAGGGAGATAAGGGGTTATCCCAGCACTACCCTGGAGATTATCTGGACAAAGTCTCAAAATAGCTGAAATGACCCAAAACAGCCAGGGAGGGGAAGTGAGGAGAGATGCTTTGCTCCATGCTGGGCTCTGATTATCTCATGCCTGGATTAAGTCCCAAGGCAGGATGGCTCATCTCTCCTCCTGTGCTCACAATAAGTAATCAGAGAGTTTGTGGTTTGAGCAAAAGGCAGAAATTTTTTTTGAAAGAAAGATATTCCTCTAAAGTGGAGGCTGTGTTTTAAAAAAAAAAATATATATATGCTTTTTATTACACCCAGGCACTCTTCCCCTGTACCTGCACCATTATGCCTTCCTTTAGGACAAAGGAAAAGCAGGGACAATTAAAAAAAAAAACCAGAAAACCAAAACCCCACAGAAACCAACCCTTCCCCCCTTCCATCCAGTTAAAGTAAGCATTTCCCAGCGCTGGTCCCTTCAGCTGCCCACTGCAACTGTTGCCCTACACCCCCCCACACCTTGCTGCACTGACAAAGGTTTAGCAGCTGCTCCAGGTTTTGTCCTTGCTCACCAGCCCACTCTTACCTGTCCTGTTTTGGCACACTGCCTTTGGCTCTTGCCCCTTGTGGAGCCCATGAGGCAAGCGAGGCAGGCAGAGTCCTTCTAGGTTATGGCAGAGCAGCCTTGTGGCCTGCAGGCAGCAGATGGGGCACCTACACCACCACTCCCCCACACACCACTCCCAGTCACACCCATGCAGCAGATCACACGAGAACAGCGACGCCTTGCTCACACACCTCAGCACCAGCTCGCTCAGACTCTGCCATCTTGACCACACAAACTACAAAGGAGCACAGGCCTGATTGTATTTTGGGGTTTGGGGGGGGTGTGTGTCCCCAAGGGTGGCTTGTACTAATTACAAGCTAATGACAATGAAATCCCTACTGCTTGGCTGTGTACTGCAGTGCAATGGTGCAGGCTGGTAATGCTTGCAGCCCAGCTGCTAGTTTTAAGGAAGCTAATTTGAAAGCCACCACAATCACGGGGCACCCGGGCCTTGCACTGTTAACCCTGGGGCTGTGCTAGTTGTACTTAATACGGTAACCATTGGAAACTCGGGGGGGGTTTGCAGAGGGTCCACCCTCCCACCCTTGGCTATGACTTGCAAGGGGGGGTGAGTAGGAAGCACCTTGCCTTGCAACAACTGAAGCCATTTACCTGCATCTGCATGCACACATACATGTGTGCACACACACACACATATATATGCACATACATGCATGATGCTTCAAGGCCCCAGCTGCTGCAAGGTAGTAGTAGCCTGTAGCTATAGCAACCCAGCAAAGTTAGGCAAAAGCGGCTTCTTCAAGGAATACAAAGCTCGTGTCAAAACACAGTGGGCCAGCTCAACTGCTTTAGTTCAGGTAAATGATACTCTCCTGCCCGTCACTTCCCTGTCATATCTTCTCTTCAAAAGGAGCAGAATTACACATTTGGTTAACCCTTTCTTTTCCGTAAGTTAACTGCCACTCACACTGAAAACAGACACCCCCCCCCAACCTCTCTTCTTTTGTAAAGGTTATTTCATAAACACCTACAAAACACCTCCAAGCATGCCTCTGTTTATATGTTTTATTAAAAATTTACATAAATGAACACACTCCAGCAATTGGGGTATGCAGATGTCCTAGGTTAAAAAAAAATATACAAAATCCCCCACCCTCGTGGGCAGGGCAGCAGCAGGTTGAAGCACGACCTCACTTCCTTTGAACTGTGGTGAAAGCCGGCATCTGAATGGGCTGGATGGCGTGGACTGGCTGAAACACAGGCTTCTTCCGCATGTCAGAGAGTGTTTTCACAGAAGGGAGAAGCTGGTTTCTCTTGATGATCTGCAGTGCCAGCTGCGTGTTACCTACAAGACAACTTTGCATTAAAAAAAAAAACAAAAACCCACACCTTTGTGTGACAAAAAAAAAAAAAAAAAACCACTTCTCAGAACAGAGCCAACAAGCCATTCCTGGTACAATAGCAGTCTTCTGATTCAGCGGAATGCTGACATGGACATTAAAAGTATTAGATAAAAGTAAATGTGAAAGACACTAGTGCTTGACTCTACCTAATATTAGCTGGAGACATTGAGCTTTTATCTGAGAGCAAGAAGATGCCAGAGCACCTTCTGCATTCCTGAAGGGCATCTCTTCTCTCTCCCATCCACGTAGTGAGACTCTAGATCTCACACTAAACGCCCTCACACTGTGATATTACAGACAGTAATGAAAGTGTCACGGGGGTATATAAAACATGTTTTTTAGAAGAAGAAATCTGTGTTTTAACTGTATGTATGGCCCATCAAATAAATACCACTGTAAATGGAGAAATTATTCTTTGTTCAAAATTAAACCTACGAAACTGTAGAAGAACCACTAAGTACTCAAAAGAACATTTTTCCCTCTTACAAAATACTTTTCTTTCACTAAAGTTTTAGTTTCAGAAGAGATGCACCATTTTGTTGCCATTTATAGCACAAAAAATGTCTTTAGCATTTTTCATTTATATGAGAGAGAGAAATCCCACTTTCTACTCTCTTCTGCCCTGTACTCCTTTGTTGCAGAAAGAAAGGTTTCCAAAATTACAACTTAGAAACATCTTTCTAAGAAAAGCTTTGTAGAGGTCTCAATTCTGAACACAAATGCTGAAGTCCTTCCTCTGCCTGCCTGCAATGCCAGACAACCAAAGGGGAACAAGCACACCGAACATTTCACAACACTTGGGATATTAAGCCCCACAGGGCACGGGTCCGCAACTATGACAGCTTCAGTGGTGCACCTGTACCAGTCTGCTCCCACCGCAGCATTCAAGTGCAATCTTTCCAGTTTCCCATTCTGTAGAGAGTTTTTTCCCATGCAAACACAGTGAACCTTCAAAAGGAAGGATTTTGGAAGAGTTATCAATATTACAGGCTTTGTTACGCTACTTGCTACATAGCCCTTGACATGGCTTCTTTGGGAAACTTGGACTGCAGTTGTCTTTTAATGAAAAGCCTTTCAAGCCGTCTTTATAGCATAAACCTCATCAAGGGCTTTACTGAGCCTATGCTGATTTCTGCACAAAGCATGGAAAAAAGTTTAAAATGTCAAAAATACCCAGTTACATTCAACATTGCAGCTTACATGTTAAATTAGGGGGTTTTAATGTTGGGGGAAAAAGAAATATTTCCTTACCATTCTGTAATTCAAGATATACAGCCAGCAGAATAGCCTCTGGAGGGATCTCTTTGGGGTGGATCAGCGAAGCAGCCTTATTGAAAAAGAAGAAAGGGTTGGGGAGAAAAAGTGCTTAGGAGAAACATCCAGCTCAAAACAAAAATCAATAACAATTCATAAACTAAGATAAGATTTTATTTTTTTTTCCAAACTAACACACTGCATCAGGTTTATGCATGCAAAGAGACACTGAAAGATTATCTGCATTGCAAGATTGTTTCACACTAATTAGCAGCACCATCTGCTGTACACTTATGTTAATTTGAGTCTGTAATTCTTGGACCAATCTACAGTGGCTTCCTGGTGAGATGACAGGTGAAGAAGGTAACCTCCACTGCTCCAAAGTTCAGAATACAAAGTTAACAAGGATTGTTCATTAGCTTCCATATCCCAATATTTTTCAGCTATGAAGCCAATGAATTTATTGTAGATGCAGAGACCTACCACACTTTACATCCGCAGGTGGCCTTACACTCCTTTGGGCTTTACACATGCGCTACAGAGCCCAAGCACAGACCCCTGCCCAATCCTAAGAAGCCTCGAGAGGAAAAAGAGCAAGACAACTGCCTTAAGCAGTTGAGAACCTCGCAGAACTTGAGCCTGTTCACCTACACCACTGCTATCAAGTAATTTGGAAGACTGTTGTTTCAGTTTGCAGCTCAGCAATGCGTTTGAGTAGTCTTCCTTACAGAAAGGAATGGCTGCAAGAAGAGCCAAGTGTCATCATTGAAAGAGATGGGTCCCAGCCATAAGACCGACCAAATGACACAGAGGCTAAGTGAAGACAGAGTTGCAAAAGTAGTCCTTGAGAATTCTTGGGACAAGAGGCGGGCAAGGAACATACCTCCAGCAGAACTGCAGTTTGTTCTCACAGCCCTGAAGTTAATTGCTTGGAAGGAGAGTTATTAACTGATTAGAGAAAAGTAAACTCAAAGCCCTCAAGAACTTTCTCCTCTGAAATATAACAAGTACTACTGGACCATTAAAAAGACAAAACAACAAAAAAACCCCAAACAAACAAAAAAAAAATGCAAAACAAACCTAGAAAAAGTGAAAAGACTTCCTAGTCATATTCCACCGTTTTGTTACAATCTAGAAAAAAAAATGCTTCCCATAGTGATACTGAACTATTTACACAAGTAAGAAATTTGGAATCCTTCATTCTATGTTACTAAGAGAGGTTGGTTCATAAGGACAAATAAGAGCCACCATCTCAGCAAAGTCTGCAAATAAACCTGGGCTATAAACTCACCAGGATTTGCTGTGACCCAAGTGGCACCTTGAAGGAAGTACATTTGTCCCTAAAGCCGCCTTGAGATTTTTTTTCATACCTGATGAAGACACTTTCGAGCTTTGTCATATTCACTCCTCAAACAGTAAGCACTTCCAAGGTTAAATAACATCATTGTTCGCGCAGATGTGACCGAACTAGGATAACACTGTGGGGTCTGCTTGCCAGCTACAATTAAAAAAAAAAAGAAATAATTCTTTTTTTTCTTACACTTTTATTCCAAATCGGCCAAGTGAGTTCCTATACTCTGCAGAATACGGTGGCTGATACTTACAAGATTCCATCGCCTCATTCTCTCCTTTGTCAGACCCTGCAGAGAAAAAAACCACAAAAGCCATCATGATTCAGGAGCTTTTTGTACCGTTTTTGTAATAAGCTTTAAAAGATAAAAATTTACTTCTTTCTTTATGGTCTGACATTAAAGAAGGAAAACTGATCAGTTTGCTCAAAAGTTTACACCACTTAAGAGTTCCTGTCTTTAATATCTTCCTTTTAGATTTGCAGAGGAGTGCAATGAAGTTTAAACTGTAGACATGTCACTGAAATCAGAGCTGCTGAAGACTTAACTATACAGATGGGCTCTGAAGTATTTTTCTGTTACAGAATACACACTCCCAACTGGAAGCGCTGCAAGAAGATTAAGATACAGATTAACTAAGTTCTCCCCCCTCCTCTCTCTTACTAAATGCAGTTAAGTAGACTTCACTGGTGCTCCAAAGCTGATTTAGATACTAAAAAGCTGGAAGTTACAAAGCCCACACTTAACTGTAATTGCACATTTTTTAAAAAAAGTAGCTTTCAAAAGTTACCTTCAAACAAGCTGGAATGCTGCAATATACAGTTCTAGTTATGGTACAGAATTAGCCATTTCAAAGGAATGACAAACATGCAAAAGAAAGTAGGAACTAAAGCCAGGAAAACAAAAACACAACAACAAAAACACAAACAAAAGAATCCCAAACAACCTACAGTCTTAAAACAAGATGTCAACCATCACTATATTTGTATATAGAAATTTACAGCAGGAAGGCAGCTGAAAACATAACCAGTTCTAATGCAGTGTGGATTCATTAACCTTGATCCTGCTCATTCGAAGAGATCCCGAGGGAAACATCAGTGACGTTCTCAGGGTTCAAGTGAGTGATGGCATCAGATATTCTGTCTAGAGAGATGAGAGCTTCTGCTGCATACAAATGCCCAAGAAACCTACAACAGCAAAGGGTTAGGTACAAACATCAGTGTAACAACCCCCGCAGTTTGTTGTGTAAGATAAACTGAATGCAGTTTTTAAACACCAGCATGTGAAAACTGTTAATTGAAACACCTGCATGGAAGTTAGCTTGCTGATAAAGTGTTGTCATAATACCTAGTTCTGCCATTTACTGCTTTTAGGCACTAATGTTGTGAAAAAAATCTGCACCTGGATAATGACCATTCATTCACGCACAGGAATTGCCATTCCAGAAAAAGCCATACCAAGGTACTGTCTATCTTAGAGAATTAAAAAAGGTGTCCTTACAAAAACTCCCCAGGATACAGATACATCTATAATTTGAGGTGTAAAGTGACTTTACAGTCACTAAAAATCAAACTAATTCTGTAAGACAGCTGCATATCTAAGGACAGCAACTATACAGGCCTGTCCACGGGGCACAAACACCTTCTCAATTGCAGGTTTTATAAAAGAATTAAACAAGTCTGATGTTTGACGCTTGTGGTTCAGCTCAGCTAATCAGCAGCTTTCCTTTTCAACTTTGGAACAGAAGGAATCCTGTCGATCGAGAGCGTAGTTACTTTGCAGATATTTAATCTGAAACAAAAATTGAGCAAAAAAGTTCACGCTTGTTCGATGCGGCTGTATACAGAACCCTTCGAACTGTGTAGTTGGTTGTAATTAATTACAAAACATCGGGTAAAATATCACTCAATCATCCAAAATAACTTCTGCAATTTATATCTGATACAACAAATGTAACTTTCTAGATGCAATTTATTTCACTTAAGAAAACAGGAACAGTTCAATATTCCCAATCTGCACGAAAGCCTGGTTTCCTGGGACCAAGATACATTTGCAAAAAACTGTCATCTGCATTATGTAATGGTAACACTGCCTTCACAAAATTATGTGTTACCTTGCAAACTCCTCTAAAATCTTGCTTATACAATGACCATAAAAAAACCCGAGCTTCTGCAGTAGTTTAAAGCATGGGAGCCAAAGAATTTAATTGGCATGAACCATTTTAGAGTATGCTGCCAGCATATAAAAATAAGCACAAGTTAGCTTGCTTTCCGTGAGTACATTACCAGTTTTGAAAAATAACATTACTACCATAAAAACCTCTGCTGTATTTTATCCTTTGTATGACATAGGAATTAAATGCACAAACAAGGTCAGAAGGATGGGGCTAAAGCTGCCTTTTTTGACTTTGCAGAGATGTATAAGAACTGGTGGGTAGAAACAGAATGAGCTTTGAACATCTTTCAAAAAAAACCACAGTGCCAAATGAGAACTGAAAGAGAGAAACTGAAGAATGGAACCTACATAAGCAACAGTAGCAGGTGAAGTGACAGTTCTGCACACCCAAGATCTGGTAGCCTACTGACTGAGCAAACCTTCCCCTCCAAGGCTGTCGTTTCATAAGCGAGCTTTCAGCAGCGTGCTGGTTTGGGCTGATGTTTTCCACCTCCAGCTGCTCACTCCTGCCCCTCGTGTTGTGCCAACACGAGCACGTGAATCGGGACAGAGACCTGAGGGTCCCGCCACCACGTGGGACCCATAGCTGGAGATTAACAAATAGCAACAAAAGCAGTGATAGATTCGGAATTACATGGAATTCATACACAAACGAGGGGACTCACGTTCCTGCGTGTCAATGAACATTTAGTCAGGGCTTCAACAAGAACAGGAGCGGGCCAAGCAATTCTTTGCATCAGATACAGAATTGGCAAGCAGCTACAGACATTGGAAGCTTCAACTCAGAACTCTCCAGCAAAAAGCAGGGCTAAGAAAGAAGAAATGACCACATCAGACTTACTTAAGAGACCCTGACAGCTTTGGTTGCTGAAGAAGTTTATCTGCGTGATTCAATGCCATAAGGTTATCACCCAAAGCCAGAGCCACGTAAGCACTACACGCAAGTATTGAGCACCTGGAGGGAAAAAGAAAAAAAAAAAAAGAAAAAAAAAAGAAAAAGGGGAGGGGGAAAGCCAATATGTTAAATGGAGAATTCTGTGATTCCAAATGCAGCTGTTAAATATCTTTCTTGTTAAGTCCTGAAAAAATAAATCATAAGCTTTCAATAATGTCTTTGCGTCAAACTATGAAGTAAAGGAGCTAGTGCTTTGTTATCTAAGGCCTCAATCGCATTCTCTGAACGAGGAGATCTATACATTGTGTTCTACCTGTACAAACCAAGGACCATCACGGTGTGTTCAGTAAGATTTTGCAATTTTGACCTTAAATAACAGATTAAAAAAAGATGGACCTCACCATGTATCATTTTTCTCATGGACAGTTTCTCTTTCTCACCCTCTTTTTATGCGTTTTGCCTTGGACTCATTTGTACTTCCCTGCTCTCCCATTCTGCTGCAGCAAAGGGTAGCAGATTTGTAGATATCTATAAGGTACAGTCTACAGACACATAGTAGCAATCAAGTAAGTTGTAACATATTTCACTCTTTTATTGTACACTGTTTGGACGCAGAGAGAAAATAAACACTGGAGAGTTTGGCATTTCCAGTTTTGTGTTCAACTGGGAGCTGTAACCCGCTGCCAAGACTCCAATTGATTCGTGGCATTTTGTTGCTGTCACAGACTTTCTTATCTTTCCAAAACCACAAAATCTCTGACAGTTCCTGTAATGAAATCCAAACTACTCACATTTTCCGTCTTCAAACAATAACCCCGTGTTAGGATGCCATCGTTAGGCCAAGCTTCGCACTTTGTAATAACTCCCCCCCCCCGGCTCCCCAAACACACCCCTCGGGGATATTTTCCACTTTGTAAGACATCATTCAGTGCAGGCTGCCCTGTCTTCTTGCTGTGAGCACGGACTCTGTCCTTCTCCAGGAACGAAGAGTGGCGTCTCACATTGGGAGCGATGGGAGGAGAGCCTTCGACTCTTCTGCTGGTAAGTGGGCCATTACCGCGCCAACCTTCTGGCAACTGTCAAGCCCACTTTCGGTCCAGCAGTAAGTCATATAATTTGTGGCAGGACCTGGGGTGCCTTTATTCCCCTTTCCCAGGAGGCATGTTCCTTAATTATGCACAAGCAGGATAAGAAACTTCTCCAGTGTTTCTCCCTACCCCCACTTCCTCTCCATCGTGCCCAGATGTCACATCAAATCTGAACACATACAAAAGCTTGAGGGGGGGAGAGGAAAGCTTCCCCTGCTCAAGTCCCAAACCTAAAATATTTCCGAAAGGTTGTGACTGGGGAGGGGGAGGGAATGGGGAAGAAAGTCTCTAACAACAGCGTTCTTCTGACTAGCCCCTTCTCGTGTCTGCCTCAAGGAAGCACAGTTTATAAACCAGCAGAGATGCTAAGCGTCGCCAGCTAAATACCCTTAGACACAAGTCAAGGCCCGCAGAGTTGGTTGCTACTGCCCTTTATGTCGATATGCGTCTTCTATCTCCCACAACTTTTTAAAGCCTATTTTTGTTTCTGAAAGTGTAAATTCAAATGCAAGACACACTCCAAACTCGCAACACGTAAGTCCAGCAAAACTGAAACCTACTCCTCTGCTCTAAGGACTTGTCACACTGTTTAAGCCATGTAAGAGCTGGGAAGATTTTTTAGCGGCAGCCATCTAAAGAGGAGGAAAATATTCAGGTTGTCTTGCCTGCAGTACTGTTCTTGCACACTTGTATCCATTGTTGAGCTGGCTAAACCAAACGCTCAGGAGACCTGACAGCTAACCGGAGCAGAAGAATTGCACCACAAGGGAAAAGACAAACTAGTTTTTCACCCCAGTCAGGATTCTGACAAAACTCCACAGGTCGCCTTTGAGCAAGGCAGACTTCCAGCATCACTGAGCCTCCCCATGCCCTAAATAAAACTGCCTTTGCACTAGGAAAAAGGAAAATGTTTTTTTTAAACTGCCAGATTATGTCAAACAGCCTCTTGTGTAGGTCTAGGCAACAAGATTTGTCAGCCCACACTGACTGCAAGTTTAGAGAACCCAAACTCCACATCTGACTTGGCTTATTTCTCAGGCAAACGGCGAGCCAGAGCAAATCCACTTGTTCAAAACTTAACTATCAAGGCACAAAAATGGCACTTCTAAACCATTTAGAGAACATCGCTTATCTGAAAAAAATTTAAAAATAGCTAACTAAGCACAGTAGTGGATATAAGCTATTTGCTTTTTATGTTTCAACACAGATAAAACAATAAAAAAATGTTAACGAATACAGACTGCTTATTCAATTGGGAAATTCAGCCCCAGCAAAAGGGAGATGGAAGACAACTATGCAGTGACTGACCGTGAGGAAGAAGAGAGTGAAAGAGTTACGGGCGATAATCATTACAAGCTTGCAGTATCATCACATGGCCAAACAGACCACTGTAATCTTTAAGTGGACAAATGAGGCAGTACTAGGTAGGTGCGGAGAAGAGACAAGGTATACTGGCAAGCAATAAGGTGGTCCTTACAGTGTTACTTGTGAAATTATTAGCAGTGTCAGTGATGCTCCTGGAAATACTAGGAGGTGCACACTTCAAAATATATGGAAGTAAATAAAATAAATAAAGCATAATGATGGACTGGAGAGGGCCAATGGAAGGAGTCAAAAGAAAGAAAAAATGGTAAAATTCAATCACATGCCTTAGAGCCAGGGCTCACAGTTCAAATCTATTCAGGACAAAATGGCTGATCGAACAATTCATTTATCCCTAGCTGCTCTGAAGGGAAAAATTAACATTTTCACACAAGTTGTTCAATCTAGGGAAAAAAGGGCTACAACAAGGTCTGGTGCTGTCCATCTCAACTTTTACAATAAAATCCACAAAATTTTCCAAATGTAGCACTGTGGTCTACCAGATCTCCTTTACTCTTGATGTATTCTAACAGTGTTGGGTTGTTCTGGCGCGCTGAAACATACCACAGGCTGAGAGCAGAGCAGGGGAAATTGGCCTCTCGGAGCATGGGAGGAAGCGAGAAGCAGAATTGTTTAGAAGAAACTCAGAAGAAAAATCTGGAGTTTCTACTTCCTATGCATAAATTCTTCGCAACGTTTGGTGTCCTCAGACTTCTGCTTGTTGCTTTTAAAACCTTGCAACTGAATTACTGCTTATTATGAGAATAGCCCGTTCAGCTAATTTGTACACAAGAACCAAGCAATATATATTACACATCAGCCTCTTCTAGATGGTAATTTTAATTTTCAATAGCTATTTAGGGGCAAAGCTAGCCAGTCATTTTAAATTCTTACTAGGATGTGCAACTGTACAAAATCATGCAAAAAAAGCATTTAAGTTCCCCATTTCAGTTCTAGAAGCAACAGATGTTTTTCAAACCAGTGACTTAACAGGGAAAAACTGAATTGAATAGACACCTATTCCTCAGGATAATCCTTGCCAACATTCAGTATTTTTTTCTTACTTTTCCTGACTAGGCAAGAATTTTGATTCTCTCACTTAGGTCCTCAGTGAGCACGATTACAACAATATACTAACATTTGAGTGTAAAGTATTTTGCTTTTCACTGATACCTGCAGAAACCTAGAAATAGTTTTAGCAGAATCACTCTCTAGAGATATCTAGTCCACTGGATTTAACCATAAAAGCAAGTATTAAAAAAAAAAAAAAGTCAACACTTTTCCTTTCCTTATAACAAGAAGCAGTGTAATTCTTGCTAAACTGATAAGTTTTTCCTGACACGTTGTCAGGTTTCATCAGTAGATAACAACAGCTGATTGTGAAAGAAAAGACTATGTATTATAAAAATAATAACAATGCGACACCATGTAATTTTGACATGTGGCAACCATATTTTCAAGAGGCAGGAGGGACAAAAAACAAAACCAAAAAACCACAACCAACCCACATCACTGTTTTTAATCCAATGCTTTCTATTTCAAGTAGCATTCTCTTGTACCACTTCAGAATAAATAATCAAGGTCTCAGTAATGTCTCCTCACAGATTCTTGCTAAATTGCTTGTAAATGAATACAAGTAGATTTGCTACACATAGTAGAGCAAAGTAAAGGTTAAGCTGGTCATTATAAAACACAGGTTACCTGGGGTTAGGCTGGAACAGAGTGTTTACCCAAGAGTTTAAGTGGGAAATTACTGTATGCTTTGTCCATAATGGAAACTTAAAACAGATTTCTTTTTTTCTAAACAGGTGCAAGCTTTATTGTAAGAGAGATTTGCAACAGGCTGGCAACCACCTGAGATAATTAACATTGCCAGCAAATTATAATCTTGTTGGGGAAAAGTAAAGAGGTTCCAGCTAACGTGATACTTATTTAGACACATGGGAGTCATTCTGTTTGGAGAGCACTCAGACTGCTGAACAAGTAGCTTAAGGATCTTTGAGAATGTGAAAAAGTCTACAGTAAAATTTTACCTATGTTCTTCCATGATGAGGAAGTCAAATGCCTGGACAGAGACAATTTTTCTTTCTATTTTATGCAAACTATGGATTTAATCCTGCTGAGAGAAGCACCATTCTCATCTGAAAGCAGCATAGCTGCTTTCACCACTTGCTTTTTTTTTTCCATCCAACAAGCACATAATGTTGTGGGGGCTGAATTCCAAACTAGCCTTATCAAGGCCTTAAAGGGAAAAGGTACCATACATAATTTCCACTCCTTCCAGCAATCACAATAGCCATTGTCAGGTATTTAGCTGTGTCTTCTATGGGACTTAATGTTTTTAGTTTTGCCCAATTCAAATGCCTGTAATAGTGGGATGAAATAGACTGATCTACCTTCTGAATAGTTTCTATTTGTTCAGATTCAAAGCCCAGAAGAAAGGAAGCACACACATTTGAAAAAAGGCATCCTTAGATTAACAGTTACAATTCAATGCTGCAAGTGCCTAAAAAAAAAAAAAACCTAGCAATGACTCTAGAATCACAGCACAGTTTAAGAGGAAGCTCATTTAGTGGTGAATATTTTATATTATTTACTTGCCTTAAATTTTCTAATTCCTGTTTCTTCAAAGGCGAAGAAGGTGGAGCTGCAATGAATTTATCCCCTTCATGACTTTTATTGCTAGAATAAAAACAGTGTATTAATTATAGGGAGTGGCTATAATTAATTAATTAATTTTTAAAAGTGTAATAAGCATTGATATTTATTCACTCCATTTAAAAGGACAACAAAAATTCTATAGCCTAAAAAACAGGGAAATGAAGCTATGCAAAACCCGAGGCACATGCTCTTATCCTAACTGTTCTATATGAGAAGGAAGAAGGGGGACATTTGCTGAGAAGGATTTGACCAATAGACCAAACAACCCATGCCATTCTCAACAGCCTCAAGCTATTTTTGAAGTTTGGTGTAGGACAAGAACTTTAAACTGAAGAGATGCAGAACTTGCTGCATTTGTAGCCTCTCTTCTTTTAGGCTGTAAGAGGAGCAGTAAACTAGGTCCTTCTCCTTAGACATCTTAAAAACTAATTACATAAATATTCAAGAAAGATAATCCATAAAGTGCTACAGCTTCCTTTAGGCTTCTAGCTGTCTTTATTTTTATTTCACAATGTCTTTTTGTTTTGTTTTTTTAAACGAAACTCCACTTTCTTAAGGTTATGCTTGGCTTTTTTGGGGGAGCAAATATTTGCTCTGTTTAAAAAGTCTGCAACTTTGCTCTCCAATAAGCCGAAACACAACCTCCTTTTGGAATAAGAATTGAAGAGAAGGTTAACAGCTGCACCTTGACAAAGAGACACACTGAGGTTTAGAAGCAACAGACTAAAATAAAAAAATTGGAGTTGAAACTGACTCTGTCCACCTAACAAGAATTTTTTCATTGATGTAGTTTCATTTCTGTTTATTACAAACAGGTAAGATAACTCTTAGCCCTTCAAAACAGATAGCAACAGACTCCCAGGAAACACCTGTGCTCACCACTGCTGCAGTGTATATACCTCGTGCCTTTGCCAAAAATTAGATTAAAAAAATACTCTTAACCACTGAAAGTATTCACTGTTTTCTTGTGAATAATAGAAGAATCTGTCTCAGAGTCGTCAGCCTGCTCAATTAGTGGGATTTGCTTCAAAACATCCTGTTCAATTAGTGTGATTTTCTTCAAATGCCTTATATCTTTTACTATTCTCTTGCAGATGGTCCCATGTCAGAAAGAACAAATCCTTTCAGAATGTGACACACAAATTCAAGAACAGCCTGCTTTGTTGCTGGATATTTTGAAATTGGCAATGACTACTGGGAGATATGAGGGAGTCTTTTTAGTTGGGTTTTTTTTTAAGCTGAAGAAGCATCTGGTTTTGAAAGCAGAAGGTAGTAAAGGATCTTCCCATACAGGGCTTGTTTTCTTTTCCTCACTCCTACAAAAACAAACAAAAAACCCCACCAAAAACAAAACAAAAAGGAGGTCTTGCCTGAGTAAAGACCACCATTTTGTTTTCATCACTGCCCCTCAGTGGGCCCCATAAGCTTAAAATTGAAGTGTCATTTCAACCAGAGGAGCTTCACCTCAATGGGCTGCATACAGCTTGCCCAGGGGATGTTAGTTCATAACCTCCAAGCTCATTAAGCAAAAGAGAAATCTTTCATTTGACAGGAAAGATTGTCATTGGGAAAAAAGGGTTAGAGAGAGCAGCCTTCAAATCCTGTAGCAGTAGCAGCCACCAACTCCCAGCCCTAGTCTATCCCCAGCAACCTCAGCATACACAGGGATACACCTTGTGCCTATGCAACACAGCGTATGTGCAGTGAATCCTGCCATGTGACAAATGGATCTCATTTTCTTAAAATTTATCTGTACTTGGGTCTGACAAAAACATTGTGTTTTTTCATTGCTTTCTAAGTAGTTCAAGTTCTAACATAGCCACTTTTTCTAGATTAGTTATCTTAACTCTTCCCTTCTCAAAATGGTCATTAATGAAAGTGCAGGCTACAGCCAAAGTTACTCTTCAAAAGGAAGCTCAGAAAACATCAGAATCAATTAAAAATTAAAACACCTTCCTGCTATTTAACATATATTGTCTACAAGTTTTTCTGAAGCTTGAAGGAGAAAAAAGGAGAGCTTTTTCTTAAACTCTTTTTTGTAAAACGCGATTTATTAAGCAATAGCTCCATGCTGCTTTCCTACTCATCTTCTAAACTAATTTCCCATTTCTATCTAAAACAAACATGACAAAGCATACTAGGGCTGATGAATGTCAAATCTGATCATGCAGAAACGTTTACAATGGATTTGCTAGACATTTATATATTGAATCAAGTACATGGCGCACGTGCAGACACACAAAATCACTGTAACGTGAAACTTCACTTACAATTAGAGAAATACCAATACGCACTGCAGGAGGGTGTGGGAAAACATAACATTTGCACCACAGAAAATAAGATGGCCAGTGAAAAAAAGAATTTCACTGTCTAACTTAAAGGTGTTAGGAATGGTAGGAACCAACTCAGTATTTTATCCTTAAATTAGCATACCAGTAATTAAAACAATGAACAGCTAAACAATTTCCTTGGATATCCCAACACTGCTAAGAGAATCTACAAGTACATTATTTTTTTCTGCTGGCCAAACAGGATAGGTAGCAGACACCGACTCTCAGCCCAGAGTTACTGTGGACAAAAAGAAAGGTTTATATGCCATTCTGTTTACCTGCATGCTTCACTGCTTTCACTGTTTTCTGTATTTCCCCCCAGCTGATTACTAGTTTTAGATCCATTTTCCTGCTTTGGCTCCTGCTGGTCCTCTGGTAGTAGCAGCAAGGCATTTCTTAGACAAATCGCTGCAAACTCCATACTGGCTACGGGTATTGCTGAGGACTGCCCATCACTTAAAGAGACACAGAAGTAAGCCAGTGAGTAGCAATCCCACTAAATTAAAAAATAAAAGCAGAGCTCCAGAAAGATCTGAATGCAGAGAAAACTTTATCCTAAAAAAGTTAAACCACATTTAACACATTTAATTTATGAAGATGTATGTATCTTGCTATTCTTATATATAGGAAGTACACCACGATGCCCAAATAGCGAGCACATTCAACTACATAATTACAAGAAGTTCTCTTGTTTTTCTTGAATTCACTTCCTGAAGTTTTATGACAGAGCAACTACTTTTTTTTCAGTTCTTCTCTAAAGTGGATTACCAAAAATATGTATTTTTAAGTGAGAAAAAGAGGACAGATTTAGCTAACTGGAAATATAAATTTCAGATAAATTCATTTTCAGCTTTAATGGCCTTAGTTACAATGAATACACAGTTAAGCCCTCTGCTGGCCATCATAGAGGAGGCATCCAAATAATGTTCAAGTAGGACTCATCATTTTAGCATGCCTCTCTTCACTACGCTAATAATTCCAAAATGAACAGTTATTCCATGACAGTTTTAAAAACTCCTGATAAAACAGATATGTATCCTTAACAAAGCTATGAAAACAAAACAAAGAGCCCATGGAAAACATACTTACTTATAAACGACATTCTGTATTGACTGGGATGCTAGGACTATCTTACGGTGGTAGCCTTGACCTACTATAGATTGTACAATTCCCTTTTTGCTGGGAAGACCTTTAGTTTCTTGTTCTGATGTCTGAAAGGAAAAAAAACAAAACAAAGCAGAGGACTAAAATATCAAAGCTGTTAAATGAGAGCTTGACAAAGTAAGTGAAAACTGGAAGAAGACTTTGAACCCTGCTGAAATGTAAGAATTAATAGTTTATATAGGTACAGTTTTAAATCTTAAGTACCATGAAGGATCAGGCACCTTCTATTGTCTTTGTGTTGGAGGGATTTTACTGCACACAGTGTAACCACAGATTAGTTATGACAGCTTGTCTGATAGCCTACTGACCTAGTTTCTCCTCTGTTTTGAAAGCAAAAGAACAATGAACCAAGTAGTATTGAAAGCACTGCTAGGATGTCTAAAAAGACATCACATGATCAGCCAAATAATATTCAGAACTGGCACTGTAACACTTGCCATCTTCTCTCCCTGCTTACACAGCATTCAAAACACGCTCTGACAAAGCTGCTCTCAAACCGTTCCATGGGGAGCATGAAGCTAAACTACAACATATGCAAAGTTACATTAAATTAGCTTAACAGATTTTTAGCATGCAGATATTCTGGGGGTCACATGAACTTAAAGCACCCTAATTGTCAGTCTCAAGAATTATCTCTACACTATATTTACTGGGGGTTGTTTGCTTGTTCTACTATGAGTCATCTTAATAACTCTGTTGGTAAGTTAGTGATGAAGAGTCACAGTTTTAAGGAAAAAGTTATCCTAAATCTGTATTGTAAATAGTTATCACTTTTCACAAAATTTATAAGATTCTATTGTGAAGAATCATATTGACAATTTACTGTCACAAAAAAAATACATACAATGAGCTTTGATATAAAGCCCATATTTTGGAAAAGGTGTTAAACTACAGAAAGATAATCATCTTTCATCTATATTTTATACACTAAAATACTAAAGCAGGTGAAAATTAGCTTCAGTGAAATTATTTTTCTGTATGGTATTCAGAGTATAAATATGAATCCATACTTAGATATCAAGGGATATTATTGCAAATTGAGTTACAAGATCAAATTAAACACACTGTTGATTTTAGGGCCTCACATGTCATGTTGCAAATCTGTCTTATAATTTAAAGACACTTCTCCTTTTTCCCCTTTACCTTTAATATTAATGGCATCCAAACTTAATTTTTTTCCTCATAAGATTACAAATTTAGAAACAGCAAGCTGGTTTTCATGACCCGAATTCAAGCTCCCTGGTATGCGACACAACATCACAACTGCAGGAGGAAGAAGGCTAGGCTTCAGGAGCCTGGCATCTACTGCTTTGGCTAGCCTGCAGCAAAGAAATGCCCCATAAGGGTCTGTATTTCCCTTTTCCAGACTGTTAAACACTGTCCTTGTACACAGAATTTTTTTTGGTTTTGCCACAAAACCTATGCTAATTCAGTCTCTCATACCCAGCTTTCCACTAGAGATGATCAGCTCTGTCATCTTTATCTACATGTGACTTGTAACCGGTAAGACAGACACAGAAAATTGCAAAACGAGCATGAAAAAACCTGTTCTTCCTGCATTCACTGTGCTTTATATAACTAAACACTCAGAACTATCTGATAACACAAAAGTCAGCCTGTTTTTTGACCTAACGCTCTTGAAACTTCAGTGCTGTGCCTGTGAAATGGGAATGTGAGCAAACCTCTCCTATAAAGCTATAAAGCTGTGAATATCTTTCTTAAATTTTCTGGAATACAGATATCAAGATAATGAGCACTCTTGAAATTCCCAAAGGAAAAGTGACGAATTTTGTATTTGGAAGGATTTGGATAGTGTGCAGTAAATAAAGGTGCAGAGGCCACCCAGAGAGGGAAAACAGAGCGAATTCAGAGTTGGGAAAAAAATAGAGTGAATATAGCCATTTGTTCAATTAATCCCATCCATCTCGTGCATTGAGTGAAACGGACATACTGTGGAAATAACTGCATGCGATCATGCAATTATAGATTACATCATCACACCCACACACAGGAGGGGTGAATTACAGCTTCACAGGGAATCAAGTACAGCATCTCTTAATTTCACAGATGTACTACTTTGGTACCATTTTCTGTTCTAAAAACCAACAATTCTGTCCCCACCCCTCTGAATTTTAACATCCTAAACAGACATGGGTCAACACGTTGAAACCAAGATGCCCCAGAGGACGCACAATACGTCTGCTGTCAGCAGGTTTCCACAAACTTTGCCAGCAGAGGAATGACAAGTCTCAGCAGTTAGGGATTCAGTTCCCCAGCAGCTGTGATCACAACAACTTCAGGATGAAGAAGGCTGACCACTGCTTCTTCCACCTATGCTGCTTTTAGGCTAGTCACACTACAGCCTCACCCCTCCTCAACCTCTAGCAGCAACTGAGTGAGGAAATAATGAAACTTAAGATGAGTTTTGGCTGCATGAAGAGAAGGAAGATCATATGCAAAGATTTCAGTGGAAATCAGAGCACATCGTATTCTCTTCATCCAGTTTAGTCCTATAAAATGAATCCACATCTGAATTTGGACAGTGGATTTAGAGTAGACAGAATTAAAAAAAGAAGTTTAAGGAGTTTATATTACTTGTACATCAAGAAAATTGTAAATAATTAGGAACATTGCAGGAAGAAAGTTTCTCTTTAACCAAATACTTTTAGTAGTCCTCTACAAGAGTCTTTGCATCTTCCAATAAAGTTCTAGGACATAGTGCTGTATTTTGCTTTTAAATAAGATTATTCACCAGTCTGATCCAATAACCATATTCATTAAAACATCAAAACCCCTAACCTTACTGTCTGCTAGAACAGCAGCAACATACTTTCAGTCATACCTTTTACACTGTAGTATCTAGCCTTAAAGTAGAGACAAAGGATCTCTACTGGATAGATGTATGTTTTCTCCTACTACTCCAGCTAAAATTTGAGCTAGAACCTCATAGTTTCAGAAGCAGTAATGCAATTTCTAGAGTCTAAACATAAAAATCCAAGATGTTTCGGTCAAAAAAATTTCAAAAAAAGGAAGAAAAACAATCCTTCTACCTCAAAGTATCAGCAACAAAAGTTATCAAAGTTGTTTCTGTGCAACAAGCCTCAAAGTGAATACCAAACCTCCAAGAGCAGCTGCAAAAATTTTCCTTGCTTGGATACTACGAATGGTCCCTGACTCCAATCTCACCTGATTATTTCTCCAATCCAGAAACAGAAATCCTTGGAAGTACAGAACTTAGTACAGAGAAAAGATCCTGAGCAAGTTTAATTCTTCCATTCACCAAAAGAGACTGAATTACTTGTGGGGTTGTTTTGTTGTTGTTGGTTTTCAATATATATCATATATTATTTTATATGGGGTTTATATTTATATGGGATTTATATTTATTTTGCAGCCAATATGAAATGAGTGTGGAAAGCTGAGGCATCATAAAATATCCATAAGTAGTAAGTCAAAATATTAATCTACTTAATATGTGGATATTAACATAACATATATGTTATGTTACTATCCACATATTAGGTAGAGAACATTCACTACAGAAAGAACATATTGCTTCCTGTTCTAAAGTGATGTCTCATTAGACAATAATACAAGTTTCTTTCCAAATAATATCTTTATGTTTGTTTCTAAAATTATTTCAAGACAAAGCCATCAGATGGCTTGCGGAAATTGAACGTGCTTCAAACCAATTCAGGATCACCCATTCAGATTATGAGTTGGAATGCCAAAGGGGTGTGATGGTAAATTGCCAAAACAAAATCATGCTTAACCAGTCCCTCCAGCAAAAAAACCTTGTAACTTCATAGAAGAGCAGCTCTAACAGCCACTCGCACCAATCTTTCAGATAGCCTACTCAAATTCTTCTGATCTTAGAAAAGTAAATTAAACACTGTGTTTCAAGACACTGTTTCTACAGTGGTTTTCCTCCAGCTGTTGCAGCTTCAGATTAAACATGCAGACACACATACACAAAAAAATTAATCTGGACTCACACAGAGGTGTTGCAACATTAGGCCTTTAAAATGCATAGTTTAACTCATGGTACTATTTCTTCCTTTCCATGATCGCATGTATTTCATAACTACAATCAAAATAAGGAATTTGCAAATCTACTTACCCCTTTATTGGCAGCAATGCAGCATTCTGCTATTCTCAGCCAAAGACGAGGGTTTGAGTGATAAACCTGGACTGCCTCAATCAGGCATTCAAAGGCAGCTAAGGGCCTCCCAATATGCAAGAGCTGAATTCCACAGTTATAGAGCAACTCATACCGTTTGTTAGTCAGTAGCGTACACATGGGTCTCCCTGAAAATTTTTTACCTGCAGAAAAGGATTACATCGTACTGAATGTACAGCTCAGGAGAGCGGAAAACATAACTCTGGGGGAGGAGGAGGGAAGCTGTGGGAAACACCCAAAAACTACCAAAAAACCCCTTCATAACAGAAATTCACTAGCCTCCCTCTCTAAATAAACTCCTTCCACATCAAACCTCATACCAAAGACAAATTAATTGTATTCTTAGTAAAGGTTGAAGTACATAAAAATGCTAGCCACATATATTCTTTGTCACTCAAGTTAAATATTAAGTAATAATATTGAATTCCAGATTTTTTGAGAATACACATCTTTTGTTACTCATACAAATTCCAGAAGAAAACCACTTTGCTGTTAACAAGCATAAAACATCTGTCTTCACACTGGTACCCAAGACTGCACTTAGGTACAGGGCCAGGGGATGAATAGGAAAAATAAAATGTGTGATAGTAACTAGATTTTAAAGAAAACAAGAAATGAAAAAAAAAATTTTTACTTAATCATGAAACCATTTACTTGGAAGAGAAAAATTTAAGTATTATTACTCAAAGCAAGAAAACTTATTAGAATGTTTATTTTCTTGTCTTTTGTATACTTACAAAAGTAGATGGATAAAACTAACCATAAAATTAAACAATGGATGAACATTTCTCATACAAGTCTGGGAATTGTTCAGTAAGAAAGTTTGAGAAATACACCATCTTCCAAATGCTAATTTAACGGTATCACACTCCATATTTTCTACATCTTCCAAGTTACAAAACAAAAACCAAACTAATAACAGAAAACCCCACCCCACACATCCTTCAAGTCTTGATGATTCTACCTACTGTCAGCAGGACTATAAATAACATCTTTAATGATGCATAATAGGTCACAGACACTTTATTTTGTCATATCTCCCTGACTGATAGTCAAAGACTACAAACGAGAGACAAGTAACTGCCCCAGCCCCATAGCACATCAAAGAAAACAGTGAAAAAAGAAGATATTGCATCATCATCTATTTCTCGCAATGGCAAGTATACTCTGAAATCAAGTTACAATCAAAATTCTCACCCTCCTTATCCTATCCTCTGCAAAGAGATGGAACAGGAATTCTGCTGATAGTTACTGAAAGGTTCTACCCTCTATTTTCTTGATTTGCCCACCCCCTTTCCACAATCTATTTTCAACTCTTAAAAGTCTTACCTGGATCTGAGCTGCCTGTTCCTAGCTGTGCACACGCATTATCGTTTTCTTGCAAGGCTTTTTTGAAGTAAAAAATTCCTAAATTGTGCTTTCCCATTGCAAAGTGGATGCAGCCAAGATTGTTCCAGAACATACACCTTAGGCATTCACCTGAGAGAACAGCAAAAGACCATTTTTGTAAACTGAAAGATGTCACTGAACTCATAAAACGCTCCCACCACTCTCTCATGGGTCAGCATATTATGGTAGTTTATTAAACATGTTTTTCAGTGAGATATTCATGGATTATGCAGTTACATCCCTGCCTCACAAGCATTTTAATAACCTACATTTCTGTATACCATTCTAGCTCTCTTGGACTGTTGACCTGAAATGACCTATATATAAGCAGCTACAGATTTCCAGATCTTATGCACCATATTCTGAGAGAGCCAGGTATAAAGTCAATTTGATAGACTGCAAGTTGAAGTGAGTTCACCTGGAGGTTTTCATAGCATTCAGCCTGCAAGCACTTCAAGTTTTCTAACAGATGGCTCTTGTAAAAAGGGAAATTCTCACATTATATGACCTGCCTAAGTTTTATAAAATAAACAAATACATCAGCCTAACCATGCAAGCAGGAAATGCACTCTCTTTCCTAAATATATCATATTCAGGTAATACTGTAAGAAGCTCCTTCTAAATAATAAAGAGCAGAGAATTAAACTTTTAACTTATCTGTTGATAACTAAAGCTTTACAGAGTTACCACTGATAAAAAAAGAAAAAAATCCACTTTTTTATATCTAAAAAAAGTACAAACATTTATATGCAGTTATATCTCTGTGCACGTGTACACATATATACTTTCTAGGTATAAAAGTAACTTAAAATGGCATACATTAGAAGTCAAACAACACTTCATGACACATTTGCATTTCTCCCACACAATAATCATTACTCCTGACTACAACCTGAACTCTCATTTCTAGATCTAGTATGTTTGTTTCATGTCTGGAATTAGACACCAAATACAAGCCTTGCAAATATTACATTTACACCTTCACAAATCCATTTTCTTGGACAATCACTCATTGCCTAGAAGAATGTTCAATGAAAAACACGACAGTGTTATGTGAAGGAGCGCAAGAAGAAAGATGAAAACATATCCAGCACAGAAACCCATAACATTCAGGGCCTACTACATTAAGCAATCATTAAATATGCTTAAAATTAATATCAATAAGTAGTCCTATTATAGTACACATTTACATACTTGCAGAATTAAGGTTTTCTATTTTACCTGTTTTCATGAAGCCTGGATGTTCAGCAATGTTCGCACTGTTCAGAAGTTTCACCGCTTTACGATAATTGCCCCTCAAATATTCAAAATTGCTTTTAAGAAAGAGAGAAGGAGCTGACTGTGAAGGAGAAAGCAATAGTTAATCATCTCTTGGTTTATGATTTCTACTGCTAGTGTCAAATCACTCCACAAACAGCTTGTCCCTGCTGCCGTTTTAAAAATACATGGGCTTAGGCCGTAATACCTTTACGAAGCAGCATTCCTTTGTTGAGCACGTGATTAACACTCACCTCCTCCAAACTACAAAACTACGCACGCTCTTTGTTACTGCCCTAAACCCCGACATTATTCTAGAGAACTCTGTCATGGCAATGGCTAAACACAGAGAATCTCCTTTTTGTTTAAGAGGATCTTTCTCCAACCCATCTTCTTATACACTCCTCCCCATGCTTCCCTCCCTGCGGAGTTCAACAACTTCCTCCTGGGCTGTGATCTTCCTGGTCTGCCAACGGAGACCTCGTGATCCAGAAGGATTTCTGTCAAACTAGCAGCTGTTGAGACTGGCAACAAAAGGGAAGTGCTCTCCTCCCATTCCCTGCTCCTCAGTTAATGTAGAATTTATCTGGGATGGTGGATGTAATTCTGAGTTGAAAACTCCTACATAAAAAAAAGAAACTGCTTTCTAGCAAGACGTAAGCCTCCAGAAAAATTCAGCAAAAAGAAAAAAAACCCAAAACCCTGCATATCCCAGAATTAATCTTTTATGAACTGGTTTAAACCCACCAATGACATCAGAAGTTTGTACTAGCTGTAACACTTATAAGTAAACTAAAACTTGGTTTGTGCTGCTTAAATTATAAAGCAAACTGAACCCATTTATTACATAGCGGTTTGCTGTTACTTTGGTATCATTAACAATAAAGTGCATTTTTCTGAGCAACTGAAAACAGCACAAACACAAAAATTCTACATTAATTACACTTGCAGAAAAGAGATTACAAACACAACTGACTATATAAAGCATTATTTCAGACATTCATCCTCAGTAAGACCTTTTTTTGTAAAGAGAGTTAGCAAATTCAGTTTTAAGATAGAGAACAGATCTAGATTAGAAAAACAATAGCTTTAAGAATACTTACATTCCCAGCTGTATTCATAACAGACTTGATCTCCCTTTTGCATGCTTTTAGTGACTTCATCTGGATATAGGCTCTCACCTTATACTGTTTAAAAATTAAATTTATTAAATAAAAAACAATAACTTGTGCAGGTTTGCAAGATGAACCGTATCTAGACATTTTTTACAGAGTATTTTATATACATCTTAAAAATAAGTAGTAAAAAACTGTTCAAAAAGCCTTCCTAAAAAAGAAATTCTATTCAGACTTTCAACAACAAATTTATAGGCTTTGTATTTACAGTAAGCAGATGCACATTTTGTTCAATGGTCAACAGCTACTCTATATTCAAACACATATACTAGCACTTAAAATGACAAACTAATTAAAATAATCTAACCTCTTAATCCCAGACATTCACCTACTAAACTGAAAGCACCAATAAGTGAATGCCGATAGAGAAGCATTTTGTTTCTTCACGCATTTTTCCGTAGAATAGTACAGTGAAATAAAACATCAGCTGATTTTGACTGTTGGAGGTCTAACAGATATAAAGCCAGTGCAGCTAAACTGCAGTTTAAAAAAAATTATGATAAACTTCAGGGATTGAAATTGGAAGGTTTTTTTGTGTTAGGTCAGTTTTTCCTGTACACGGATCGTACAAAAAGGAAGAGTTAGATAAATTAATTCTTTTGCTTTACAACATGAAATTGAAGAAGAGAGAGAGTATCACAATTCATGCTGAACTAGATTTGAAGCAGATGGCACTTGGTTTTAAGAAAAACTTGAACTGATGTTCTTGTATAAATAATATGCAGACACTTACCTGATGTATCTTAGATTTAGCAACTTCTATTAAAGCTCCACTTTCAGCTTTTTGATTTGAGGAATCTTTATTTGTGTTATTACCTGACTGAGTATCAAACAAAAAAAAAAGGAAGTGTTACTATTAGTCACCTTTTAAATTCAGTTTACAAATTCTTTTGTAAGCTATTTTTATCAATCTCACATGAAGAAGAAGTATTTAATAGTCAAAAAATACACATCCCACCAAATACTGTAACTTGAGCTTAACAATCAAAATCCACGAACAACCACACCAGTCTACGAAGGGTAGAATTCTATATTAACGTTAGTGTTACACAATGTCGCTTGGCAGTGGAGGTATTTTAAGAATTCTCTCACCCAGAAGGATGACATCCACATTCTAGAGTCTTTCTTTAATATTTTCTTCAGTAGAATTACTATATACTTAAAGATAAAATGTTTTAGCTTGCGTGACATTCCATCAACAGGAAAGCACTGACGTGTCCTCCTTTCACTTTCAAGCCACTACTCATTCTACTGATTTTTCCAAAAGACACATACAAAAGATTTCATTTGAAAGTATGCCTCATACTTTCAGATACTATGTAAAAAACATACTTGATTTCCCATACTATGGTACACAATTGCAATTCTTCTCTGACACTGACTTCCCTTTCAAACTTAGGGTCTCACATGAATCATAGAACACCAGGTTGGAAGGGAACTCAAGGACTATCTGGTTCAACCTTTATTGGCAAAAGCTCTGTCTAGACAAGATGGCCCAGCACCCCATCCAGCCAAATCTTAAAAGCCTCCAATGTCAATGGTCATAATCCAAGACAAGGAGAACTACGTATATTTCACCCTGAAGATAGCTGTCTTTCTGAAGCAAGTCTCCGACTTAAGAAACACCTCTTAGCTCCCTGGGAGTAAGAGAGGGAATAAACAGCTCCTATATACAATTAACTCAGTAACTAACATGTATAAGTTGCTGTCTGAAGTTAGAGGTGATCTAACGTAGCTTTATAATTCAAAAAGTATTTTAAAAGAGTAATTTTGGATTGAGTTAAAGCCCACTTCTGGTAAAGATTTAGTGGCATTCATATGATTTTAAGCTTACCTCTTTTCCATTCTTGCTGTTATTGTTGCCCTGTGAAATCATTTTTTCCAGAACAGCAAGCAGATGCAAGGCTTTCTCAGCTTGGTAAGTTAGCAGGTATAAGTCTACAAGCAAGAAGCACACAGCCTGGGCAAACTTCTCTTCTGTATAAAGCAAAGAAGTAAGCGTTATTTTACAGCTCTAATACCAATCCTTCCAAAGATAACTGAAGAAAAAAAAAATTACTATAAAATGCATCTATGCAACATTATGAGAAATATATGACATAAGAAAAAAAATGCAGACATCTACATCTACAATGTAGGCAAGTACACATACTGAAAAAAGGTAATTAAGTCAAACAGCATCAGCATAAAAGCATAGACTAAAGACAGCTTAACAAGTATTTCATGTTTATAGATTTTGATAATTGGTCTAAGCAGATCAGCACCAAAGATCCAGCGTCTAAATAGATGGATAGAGCCACATGCCTACACAGAATCCCACAGAACTTGAAAGGATTCCATATAAAACACATCTCTGCTTGGCTGGCTTCATAGAGTAAGTCCCAAATAGGTATATTGAAAACTGGGAGGAATTGAAGGAGAAACAATGTAGCATTTACTTCATTTATTGACACACACACACATCCATCCTTTAGCCTTGTCACCTCTAAAATTCAACAAGGATTATGAAGTTATTTCACACATGACAATTTCATTACACAGTGCCACAGCTCATAAAAGCTGGAGACTTTATATTCAGATATGAGCACATACAATTATCTATGACCTAATGCATGTATTTAAAAACGTGAGTGCCCTGACAAATACACACCCACCCATGAAGTTGTATGACGACTCAAAATGCTAGATTTTAAATAATTTAATTGACTTGTACATATTATTTACATAAATACCTCTTAAAGTTGTCAAAAATCTGTTTCAGTTTCATTATATTTGTCTGGTAAATGTCTTTGAAGTACCTTCCCTGCAAATTCAATTGTTGTCCTTGATACAAGTAAAACATATTCTTCATTCTGAAGCCTGCATACTTTTTTAGAACCATATTAGGCAATTTACAAATCACTTATCTGATAGTGAGAAAGACTGAATGATCTTTCAGTAGTTATTGCATGAACAAAACTCTTCTTTCTGTCTACATACCAAAAGGCTCTATAAACTGGTACAGCTTCTCCCCAACGGATATAGCTTCGGTATACTGACGCAGATGATACAGAATAACAGCTTGATTGTAGTACAGCATACTATTTTCAACATCATCTAAACCATCCATTTCTTCAACAGCAGAGTGAACCTGAAAAAACCCCACTCATTTCATTAAAACTTTCAATACATATGATTTTTAAAAGTGTCTTCTTTTTTTTAAATAATCCAAAGGTATTAATCCATATAAAGATAGGTCAGTAAGAGTTATAAGCTAATAAGCTTTATTGTTGTTTAACATAAATCCAGGAAATAATTTACAAGGAAATAGAAAGCCGTCAACTGAGTAGTAAAGTAACATTTTCACATTTTTATTATTTCACAAACTATTTCAGGTTAAGGAACTTTCTATTGAAAGAACATAGCAGGTCTTTTTACAGTTATAATCTCTGAAACATTTCAGCTTCAGATCAATTTCAATGATAACTAAAAACATAAAGGCCGTGTCTTAAATGATTAAACAGAGGTTTAAAAGGAATGTTGCCTTCTTATTCCTTTATTCCCAGGGGACAAGGGGCAGAAGTTTTATTCCTGTTTCACTGTAAGAGCTCACCACCATTGACAGCCCTCAAAAATCAAGTATCATGTCAGTAGGTTTGCATTACCTGGTTCTTCAGCTGGTTAAGGGTTTGTCTCAAATTGTCTGTTGTAGTCTGGTTACTTTTACAGAACTCAGCAACAGCAGTATTCAAAGTTATTTTGTAGTCATCTTTGTTTATCTCTTGAAGGGTATTTAGGTGTTGCAAACAAGCATCATAATTTCCAGCCTGAAAATTGCAAATAAACCAGAAACATGCATGAGAAGATACAAAGTTTAAACTAGTAGGCTACTAAGTTTTAATGAAAGTATTCTCTGTAAGTTTAAAGAGCAAAGTAGTATATCCTTTAGCAACAGCAAGTAAAGTCAACTGAATAGCTACACACATACTTCGTTATTTATACCGATTAATACATATGAGAAATAAGTCTAAAATCTGAGGTCATATCCAAACTTCAGAAAGAATTTTGTGGAGGAAGGACAAATGGAGTAGTCTATTATTATAAACAGATGTTTCCATGAAGAGTGTTACTCTGATTTGTCTTCATCGTATTATTTTGAGTTTCAAGTTCCTTTATTTCCTCAGTTTTCATAATCTTTCCCCATCACGTGTACATTGAGCAGCTGCCGGTTGCTTACATAAGTCCCAGCCAATCATTTTATGTTCATTCTTACCTTCACCTGGAGAGACTGAGTTACAATTTAGTCTGTAGAAGTCAGCTTAAGACAGGTTGGAAAAAGAGGGTACCACTTTCCCAGTACAGGATTAAATAATATTTTTACAAGTTGTAGCTGTTGAATGAAGCATTCAGTCATCTAGGCATGCCTAAACAGAAACTAAGACCCAAGCATGATGCTCCTCTGAGGTGTGATTTAATCAAGAAATCCCTTTCCTTGACCTCAGGAATAGGCAAGGACTTCAGAATGGCTCACCTCTTTCTGCTTTCAGTTTTAGTCTTTTCTGGGTTTCTGCAGGAGGAATTTAGTGGCATCAAGGAATGAAAGAGAACTCCAGACTCAACTATGTTAAGCCTAAATGATCCTTCACTCTCTACCGTTCAATTCCTCTACAGGAATAATCACCTTCACCTCCTCCGTATCAGGGTTACTTCCAGTCCGGTCAGTCAGATATGCAGATTTGTTTCCATCTCTGTCAATGCTTCACAATCAAAGGCTATGCTCTCCACTTCCTCCTCCTTTTTGTAAGTGCTGTTCCATGGAGCTTCTCCTGGGCTCCTGCCTAACTTTCTCTATTAAGGGAAGAATTACTACAGAGAAAGGCTCTGTGGTCCTTCTGCTCTTCCTGAGAAAGTTGCCCTTCTGAGGCTGCTCTCAATAGAGCCATCTCAGTCCCTTTGCCCTCCTGCGAAAGCACAGTTATACAACATACAGACAGATGTAGCAGGACATTGACACACAGTTTTTCCACAACTTTAAGTATCAACAGCATTTTGATCATGTGCATAAACACACAGACTTGCAACTCAACTGCTGGCATGCTCTTTAATTGAGACAGTTCATCTCCCAATGATTTTCTTTATGTGTTCACACTCAGAGCTTCTCTTCAACAGGAGTAGCTTTCAGATCACAGCAACAACGCTTCTAACTATGGTTGGACTAAAAACCTTGAGCCCTTTAATGCTCAGCTTATTTTGTGATGTTTTTCATCAGCCAACTGTCCTTTCCTCTATTTGACAGGATCTAGAATATAATATACAATTTTATAGTCATTCTATTCAAGACAGAAACTGGAAGCACAGTATGATAAAGCAGCGTGCAAGACAGTCCACAAAGCTATTTAAAGCAACTCAATAGCAAGCAAAATTGGCAAACAAGGCACCAGATTAATTCTGCTGACATCTGTCACCACCTCACAACATCAGAAACTTAGGGAGTTCTTAAAGCAAGCAAGAGTGATAAACAAGATACACTGGACTAGTATAAAAACTAAAGATGAAGTTGTCAACAGATCAAAAGTATTTTAGGCATGTAGATCTGAGGGCAAGGTAGGAAACAGGCAACCCTTTCCTATGCCTTCAGTTCTCAGGATCAAATGCCAATGAGCAAAAAGTTATTGAACAAGAACAATTGAGCTAGAAAGCACTCAGGAAGATATCAGTGAAGAACATCAGCTGTAGTCAGTTTAAGAACCAACTACATACACTTCACGTAGCAACATTCCAGACGAAATAAAAGTAATGAGTGAAACACACAAACAGGAATCTCAAAGGACGGTATTTAAATTCTTCCCCCGATCTATTTAGCACATCCAAAATTGAATTATGCAAGGCACTGTGGAGGTAGAGGTACAACAATTAAAAGGAAAAGGAATTATACTTCCTGTCAATTCCTACACTAAATAAAATTAGGAGACAATACAAAGAAAGAAGTAAAATTCAGATACCGGGTCTTTCAGTTTAACACACCAAAATATCTCCCAAGAAACACAAAATAGGTAGCTAGCATTGCCTGTAGGTATTACCTGTTGAAGAACATATCTTAATGCAGAGTGACATAACAGTATATGGTTTTTTGTGGAAGAATATAGCAAGATGCTAAAATGAAAAAGATTGGTTTGGTTGCTGTCTTTTAATACACATGACTCCTTTAAACCCTTTAATACAACATTTTTAGTTTGAAGTGATTAATTCTTCAGAGAGACCTTGCATTTCCAACACTGATACCAAATAGCAGCCTGCTGCTTCTGATTAAATCATTATACAGCTTTTAAGGCTACTAAGTTTTGAGAACCAAAATTAAATGTGCTCTTGCAGACTTCATTCAAGTATCCCCATCAGCCTTCTCACATCATAGCAGTCAGAAGATACATGTGCTGCCTTTATAACAAAACTAGTGCTACTTTTGATATAATATCCCATTACTACTGTTGCAACTGTGCTACAAAGACAGGAAAATTAATTATATAAGCCCATTTAGCAGTTATGTGGTAAATTAGAAGTCTCAGAGTTTGGCGTTGTCTTACCAGAAAAGCTTGTAATGCACTGCTTGACAATTCCTTTTCCTGATCAGTAATCCCAGACGTGCCTGCTCCTTCATGTTTCTCGGTACCTTGCTCTGTAAAGCAGACAGAAGATTACAAGAAAGTTTGCAAATGCGATGGCAACTATTCAGCTTAAAAATTTTGTTTCTTCCAGTTCTCAAGATCCTCCTGCCAGTACAAGTAACTCTCCAGATAACTGCAGCACCGTCTCCCTACTACGCTAAAACATCTCATTAGCCTATACTCCTAGTGAATTCCTCTCCATAAAATGTAAATGTAATAATCCTAACTAAATTACTGTGCTTAACCAATAACCAAAGTCCTGTAAGTTAACTGACAATGCATACATTTGAGATTTCTCTTGAAAGCTGCAGCCATACACTAGGATTGGCTTTATGTGCACAAAAATTAGCAGCGAAGGCCACGCTGCATTCTGCACGGTGCTTCCTAAACAGCAAGCAAGGGATGCTTTGGGGAACAACCAGAGCAAAGACTGGAACTTCCACCTAGCTCCCTGTTTTGGAAGAACAAGTCTCCCTACATAAGAGACTGCAATCAAACCATCATTGTTAATGATCACTGACAAACCTGATACATTTTTTTTTTAAAAACTCTTTAAACTTTTATACTCTTCAATATACTCCATCAAATGCTGTCTAGTGATTATACTGCAAGACACAAGCAAATGCTGCCTATTCAGCTTCACTCCTGATCTTACAGAACTTTGAATCATCTCTCCTCCAAGGTGAGCAGGCGCAGTTCATTCTGCATCTTCCTCCTACTTTTTTTTTTCCACCAGGATCTTCTCCAGTTCTACTGTATCCTTTTCCAGATTAAGACAACAAGAACAGCATGTAGCAATTATGATGGTGGCCCCTTTGAGCATGTATAGTAATATAACAAGGTTTTAATTGTCTTCAATCTCATTTACATAGAATTCCTAACGTTCTACCTTTCAGTCACTGCTGAGCAGATTTTTCAGAAAGGAGTCTACTGAACCTTTTTGTCATCATGTCATTAAGCATTCACTGAAGTTGTGTTAAAAACTACAGTACAGACATTCCATGTCAAAGAAGCTGAAAAACACCCCAGCAAGCCCCTCCTTGTAATGAACACAAACTACTGAAGGAAAAAAACCAAAACAACCCAAAACATCACACAACCACCACACCAGACAACTTATTTCTAGAATCATTAACCCATGTGCTAGACCACATTAAAAAAAAAAAAAATAATCATGTTTATGAAACAAAGACTTTATAAACCAGCAATGGTTTCCACTTTTGCAGATAATTTCTTCAATTTCACTGTGCAAGCTTTGCTCTAACCTACATTTTGTTATTTTAATAGTCTAGGTAGGCTTTGTAAATTCAATGCTTCTTTCTCTTCCTAGAATTCAAGGATGTAATGCAAACTCTGCTAACTTTGTTTTCACTTTGAACAAATGAAATAACCTATCTGTGAGGTCCCCTGCAAAATCCATTCCTCATCATCACCATTATATCTGGATCATTTGCTACTGACTGACTATGAAAATTTACAAGTATAAGATAGACAACAACAGTAAGGGGCAATCAAACCTCAGAAGATTAATCCATTAACATCCACAGTAGGAATAAAGCAGACGTAGTAATCTATCATAGTTTGCTGCTGGGAAGATAGTGAGACCCCTTCCATTGCCCTGTGCAATAATACGTTTGAGCAAGAACAATAAATATTTGACTGTGACTTTCAACCTGCATCAAGATACCAAAAAAGTTGAGATTTTAAAATCTCAACAATTTTACACCCACAAATTACAAAGTAACCCACCATGATTTAGACAAAATTCAGGATTCTGCAATTCCATTACCCTGGAGGGATAGATCCTCAGAGGGCTACAGAACCACGCGCACCTGCTACAAAATCTGACTGTGTGTAAGGCATTGATCAACACTACTTGCACTGCCTTTTCCTTAAAAGACAAAGGTAGGAGAGAAAATTAAACCGCAAAAAAAGCTCAGAAAATTGTTGATGTGCCAAGGTTTTCTGTAGCAAAAGAGGAAAGGAACAAAAAGCACCTCTCCTTCAAGCTAAATATAGAATAGATCTGATTCCTGCTCTAAATCTTGCAGTTGTACAGCTGAACAGAAAGTTATTACCCTCCAAGGATCTCAGGAATAGCAGTGAACAAGCAAAGGCATTTTCCCCTCAAACTTCCATGCTAACAATTATGTTACCTGCTTTGCTTGCTCAGCACGCCTTTCAGATTAGGCTAGTAAAAGTAACCATAGCACAGAGACTTGAGACTTTAAAACTTTTGAAGTTGATAATGCTTGGTCTAGTCAAGAGGTTCCCTCACATACAGGTTTACCTAGCAGAGTGCCATCAACTACTGAGTGCATTGCTGACTGCTGCTATTGTAGGCAAGTTTGTAAAACAAGCATCTCAAATGAAGGCTTATGGAAATCTGAATCCTGAAGTAAAATGTCTTCAGTTAAGCAAAAGACAAAGTTGTGTAATAAAAGCACCACTTATATAGCTGTTTCATGTATTTCCTAGGGAAAAATCAGGACAAGTCTACAGATTTCACTATGTCTCTAAATCTGCTGGTACATTAAAAAGAACTAAATGAAACTAGGGACTACTTTAAGCAAAAACCGAGCTGTCCCTTCTCCGATAAAGTTTTATGGCTGTAATACGATCAACTGCACCTACAACAACTCAGTAAACAAACCAAGTTTGCAAAACCTGAACTGGAAGCTTATCAAGAAAGAATAAAACTAAAGTCCAGCTGACACAGTTCACAGCATAGCTCTTTTCTTTGGAAAAAAAACACCAAATGACAAAACCCAAACCCACCTTGGCTACTCTCCACCCTTTTTGCTCCAAACACCCTTGCAACCTGTTAAAGATCTAAAGGTTCTTCTAATCTACTGTAATCCTGCCACTCTTGTTTACACCAGGATCTACTTCAGTTGACCTTTTTTTATCAAGGGATCTCACAGACAGGGGTCACCTAAAAGGCAGCTGGCCTAAGATACTAAAAAGAACCCTCCAATTCCACTTAAGGGGGGGGGGAGGTGGAAATTACTCTTGCTCTCTTGGCCGCAAATGGCTATTAAGTGCTTGCAAATAAAACTATTATTTCTGTATTTCTTGAGACATTTGAAAATGGAACAGGTAGGTGCATTGTCCCTGGCAAAACATACAGCATGCCACTGGATCACTCAGATCTTTGGTGTTCTTGCAGAAGCATGTGGTACGGGTAACACACAGCATACTAGTCACTACCAAAATGATCCTATCCATACAGTAGCTACAATTATCAGCTGAAATACCTGAAACAGTGCAGATTCTCTGCTTTACAAGTGACAGGACTCAAGTTATCTCTGTAAATTGTATTTACACATGGACCTGTTTAACTTTTCATTTTGTCCAACTTCCACAAGTACAGAGCAACTTTAATCCTTGTCAGGCTAGTCATGAGGGGCAAAAGGGGCAACCTGGAAAAGGGAAAGGATGTAAAAATCAACAGCTCAGATTCTGTTCTCTGGAGGAGAACAATGAAAAGCATGAGACTGCCACCTGAAAAGGGAGATTGCCCTCCTCATTGGCTTGCTGCCACATCATATAAGCAACAAGCTGACACATCTCCCACATACACATACCCGAAGATACCTGGAGAGTGACTGCAATCATTATCCTTCTCATACCTGTTCTCTGTATCTCCAAGGACTGCTGCTCCTGAGCTCTCCTGTTCCTAGGCCCTGTAAATTACATCTTGCGTGAACTGTGCTGTTGAATACCAGAGAATCTCTGGAATTATTTTTTATTTCCAAACTCTACAGGCAGGGGGATAATCTCTTCCTAGGAAGGGGAGGAATCTATCACGACTCCTACTCCAATAGCATATTAAAGGGTATGAAGACAGCCAGAGCGTTCAGCCTTCGTAAGAAAATAATGCCAGTTTGTGGCACCAAAACTACATGGAAAGTTATCTGTAACTTGCTGCTATGAACAAGTACGGTATGTAGAATATCTTGCCATAGCTCACATCTTTGATTAATTTGGGCATATACTCATAAGTGTGCACAACCAAAAAGTTCCTTCAACACTTCCAAGAAAAAAAAAAACCAACCCACCCCAAAACTTAATGCCATTTTTTTTCCTTGCAGTTGATGAAATGCTTACAGTGCTTATAAATAAACACAGGATAGTTTAGTACACATCACTCAGTACAGTACACTAATTTTTCCCACAATCTTTTTCAGATACCAAAGAGTTTCATATTTAGCATCCAGAGACAAGATGCTTGAGGCTTTTTTAAATAATGCTCCCATCACATAAAACCATCTGACTGGCCTTCCTCCACATTGCCTTCTTCTCCGTCCCCACTGAGCTGCCATCTGAGGGAAGGACTTTCCCTGCAAAGAGGACTTCTTGCATGAAGGGTAGTCTTATGGGAGATGGACGTAATGCTAACGAGTTACACAGCAACTGTACTTGAGATTTATCGCAGGTGTTTACCAGAAGATGATTTATTTCTTAATCTTGCTGATTTCTCTCTACAGTGTCTTTTCAGGCCGGAGTTCAGGAAAGACCCACTCATCCCCTGAAAACAAAGTGGCAACTCAGAGGGAATCAGACTCAACTCCAGAGATTAAGTGGCAACGCGAAGCGTTCAAATCTCCCCAGCACCTTCCGAATACCTCAGTTTAACAAATTAGCCCAGAAGCTCCACTTCCCTACCGGTTATTAAGCTCTGGGAGA